GGATAAGTTGTACAATCTCGACCACAGGCAGAGTAGCTTGTCTGTTTTTGTGCATTGAGTTGTATTTCAGAGAGAAGGTGCGAACGTGATCTAGTGCCTTTATCTACATACACAGTAAAAATAAGCGGTTAGTTATATATACTAACATTCTTAAGATACTCTGAACGCATACAAAGTGTACAGACGTCATGTTTTGTGTCATTTATTTTGGTTTGTGTAACAAGTGATTAGAAGTCTCTATCCACGTCAGTTTTTCGGATACTACAACAAGAATAGGCTCAACGCTCTCATTCTAATAATGGGTTGACTGGTAGAGAATGCCTCAAGGCATTAAGTCCGCCCTTTGTATTCTTTTGTTTAAGGATGCAATAAAGAATAAAATAAATAAATATATCTCTGTAATTTAGGAAATTAGTTCAACATTTTACTTGTAATCTGATCAGCATCCAAGAATATATTACAAGGGTATTTCACCGACTCCACGGCCTGATAGATTGTGTAAATGTGTATCTGTGAATATTAACGTCCACAATAAATTTTAACAAACATGAAATAAATATAATTTGAAACAATGTTAGACAGCCACCCAATATTTTTATATTGTAATACATTTTATAAAATGTTATCAGATTTAATGGATAAAAGGAAGGGATAATTAATACATTGAAGAATGCTTTAGTTTTAATATTTTGACTTTATTAAAGACTAGCTGTTCTACGCGACTTCGTCCGTATGGAATTTATTATTATTGAACTTCATAGGTTTTATTTTTTGCATGGAACCCTTATTCAATTTCTAAATTATAAGTAACCTATCATCCTTATAACATCAGCTATATGCTAGTGAAAATGTGTAAAATCAGCAGCCATTCGGAGATAGCCGGAACAAACAGGTACACAATTTTTTTTAAATTGTTTTTTTTTTTGGGCCTCTTAGTCGTGTGCCACGCTAGCGTGACGCGTCTTGCGTCTCCGATGAGCGGTAAAAATATAATACTAGACGAACGGGAGGTACACGTTAGCGCGTCCGGCGTGCGCGTCAGGCGACCGCGACTAGCGGAGGACATAGTATGTGTTCGCGCTATTTGCGTTTTAATCAAATTGTGTTGATTTTTCCGCGATGCAAAACATAAATACGGGGACGTTTATTAGCGAAATAATGTCTCAGTCTGCAATATGGTCTAGTGAGCATGAGAATTATATGCATAATATTATATTTCTCAAAACTTTTGTGGGTATTTACATATTTCATCATAAAGTCTTCGATATTTACCAAACTGATGCTTGTTTTAGTTTAAATCATGAACTCCTATGTTAATTTGCATTTTATCTTGTCCAAAAATACTACTCCCTTGTAGTAATTTTTTGGCCCGCGCAAAAATGCCAGGAAGAAACCACATGTCATGCAGCTGCATCAACGTGGCATAATACAGCGGCAAGGCGCAACGTCTTTACGCTTCCCGCCTCCGCAGGTCACCTCCGCTCCCCGCAGTCGCTCTAGCGTGGCCAACGCCTAATAGTAAGCAGTATATCTGTTTCAGCCAATTAGCTTAATTAGCCTTTCAATTAACAGCCTAGCCTTTTTACTAAACGTCGTCGTTTAACTAGTGGCCTGTATGATATTTAGTAGATGCGTCTAATACAACACTGCAACTATCTTGTAATCATCGAGAACAGATTAAGAATTGTGGCTGGGGTGGTCCTTGGGCCACCCTTAAACCGCGTACATTTATGTAATATAGAACGTAGCATATACTTGGACATATATAATTTTTATGCTAGGTTGTTAACTGAAAGGCTAATTATGCTAGTTGGCATATACACGGGGACGCAAAGCGAAGTCAACGTGAGACGTTTCTTACCGAGATCCCCAATTCGTATTCCAAACATGTCAATTATGGCAAATCGTCCCCAGAGTGTGAGAGACCATGTCTACCTTTCCTTCAACAATATTTCTAATTTCATTGTTCCCTGACTATTAATCGATTTCAATTAATGCGTCTAAATCATTTTAATTATTTCCGCAGTAAAGGAATCGACATAAAATAGAATTATGAAGAAAACGAAACAAAAAATAAAACTCAAAAGTTTCTCTGTAATCTATCTTACCTTTCACCTCTCACACATCAAGGCGGAGAGTAAAATTATTATACTCGTAGGTAGCTGTCGTTACTACAAAAATGAACGTACCGATCGGATTTGGAAAATAGTCATTGTGGTACAATTTAAAGTTCTATTACTTGTATCGGCTATCCAATAATTTTATTTTCTATTAGTTGGGAAATTCTAAAGAAAATATAATTTTAGTTTTCGTTCCTACAACTTGCTAAGCAAGAGATTATGTAAATCTCTTATATATATATATATATATATATATATATATATATATATATATATATTTAAACAATGTTAATATCCATTTTATTAACATTTTGAATAACCATAAAAAATAATTTTTATTTATTATATAGAAATAAACTCTAATCTTTGAAAAGTAAATATAGTGTTCCTTGTAACTTTGGCAGTGGCAAAGTAAATTTTATTTACGTTTATGTAAAAATAATCTAAAATCTTTAAAACAAATTAATTAGCCTTACTGTGGTTAGTTGTTAGTTTCCTGCACCTGCCAAGCGTGGCCACTATAGAAAATATCCACCCTGTGAGGCAATATGGCAGGGCCTCTGTTTAGCAGTTGCTTATGAAAATATTATCATAAATAATTAATGTATGATACTTGATGTACGATATCGCGACACAAACTGAAAAATAAATAGCATGGTTTTAGTTCATGTGTGTGCGTGAGCGTATGTATTAATCTATTTTAGTGATCTGAAGTTTTTGCACAGTTTGAGATTAAAATTCCCAAAGCAATACCTTATTATACACGGGGAAATGCCTCCGCAGACCCGTTAGGCAAGGCTGGGTCATACCGGACTAGCATGGCTAAAACCCCATGGTTTTCCACCTTCGCCGCATATTGGCACGGCAATGGGAATGACTTCGCACACATCCGCGGTCCCTCCGGCGTCGGCTGCTCCATGGCAGCTCCTTCTCTAGAAAAAACTACTCCTTCCCCATCTATTTCTCTAGTAAGATGCGCCAGAACACGTTTATCGGTTTTTTCTGGAACTTCTAACTTCACCTAGGTAACAGACACCCCCGAGTCCTATACGCCAAGGCCATGGGGTCAGAAAAACTGAACATTTAGGAGCACTAACCTTCCTGACTCCAGCGACAGATCTGGTCTATGGCTCCAACGCCAACCAAGATTCGGTTTAGAGGATAAGAAGAGCGGTGCCTCGCAATACCGTTCTCTTCCACAGCCAAAGTCGCGGAGAATAGGGTGAGTGGCGTCTCCTCATACCAATACTCCTCTCTTCTTCGACGTCTGGTGAGTGCAGGTGGCCGGAGGCCCAATCCCCCCCCCCCCACCATCAATATAGTAGCGGAGTTTAATGCAAGACTACCCCTAAGGGTACCAGCACCCCTGGAGAATCCCTCGCTGACCATCCAAGATCAAGCTACTCCACTCCTGAGCGTGGTTGCTCAGGCTGCCCCGCGTATTCTGGGGAGGGGGCTAAATTCCGCTCGAGACTAAACCTGCTCGGGGCAAACGGAGCCAACAACAAAACAAGCCAAAGGCGCCCCCTGCCACGCTATCCGTGAGTTTCTGCAACATCAGGGGACTTCATTGTCCTTCCTGACCGACAGTCCGAGTCACACTGCCACTGTCACAGACTATTAGAGCTAGCGCGCACTGGTAATTTTTGTCACCGCGACGTTAAAGTTTTTGTCATTGTCGCGTCACCTTTCCAAAGTGGAGTGCGCTCACGAAAGCTGACAGTGCCAAAACGTTTTACAAAATCGAAGCATCATTTTCCGATATGGATTTCGAAGAGACGGTCATTGCTTATGAACTCATCAGACTCGGGAGAAAAAGAAAGCGAAAAGAATACTGGGAGTAATACACCCCCTTTGGAGTGACAGGCTACTAAGTGGAAAGTTTTATACTATGTTTTATAAACTTCGAGAACATCCAAATAATTTTTTTAAATATTTCCGAATGAGCGTTAGTAGTTTTGATGAATTACTTCGCACTTTAGGACCTGCATTATTATACCAAAATACGAACATGAGATTGTCTGTCCCAGCTGAAGAAAGACTCGCTGTAACTTTGAGGTAAGTAAAAAAAATAAGTAATTTTAAATGATTTTTATTTCAATCAAAATAACTACAATGTCATTTTAATTTAAAAGGTAAGGATTTATTTAATTATCTTCCGTGGTGATATTGTAGTCCTGGCAAATATCATAAGCTTCGGAATCTTCATTAGAGTCAGCTGCAAACTGTGAAATATATGATTGAATAGTACTCGAGGCTGAAGAGTCTTCATAAAGTATCAGGTTTTGATTACGAGCAGATGAATTCGACTGAGTGTATGTAGATGTAGCCAAGTGAAGGTTGTTTTGGGGACTTGGCGGTGGTGGTGGTAAAGAGACAGAATAGTTGGGATTGATTTGTAAATTTTGAGGACTTGTAGATGGAATACTTTGGATTGGAGAAGGGGATAAAGTCGGCTTTGTAGCTATGTGAAGTTGATTTTGGGGACTCGACCGAGGTAGAGACACAGAATACTTGGGTAGGATTCGGAAATTGAGGACTTGGTAGATGGAATACTTTGAATTGGAGAAGGGGACAAAGTCGGCTTTGTAGCTATGTGAAGTTGATTTTGAGGACTCGACCGAGGTAGAGACACAGAATACTTGGGTAGGATTCGGAAATGTTGAGGACTTCCTATGTAACTTGGAGACGAACTATACGTAGGAGAATAATATCGTTGGGCGCTGTGGGATTTTTGTTTTTGCAGGTCTTGAAAAATTTGTAATATTTTGATCTGTACTTCTAGTTTATTCTCCTCCGGGACTGCTTTTAACAATGGCACCAAGGATAGCGCAAAATGCTTTTCCCTGTCGTCGCTATCACAATTGCTTTTATTATTCCTCATAGTCTCAATAAACTTGTTATCGTCAACCCTTTTTTATCTAAAATATCTAGAAGCCTTTCTTCGTAAGGTATTGTATTCCTTTTTTTCTTTCGGGAATATTGGCTTCGCTGTGATACATCTTCATCAGCATCCCTACTATCTTCTTCGCAACAAATGTCCTCTGCGTTGCCGGAGGTCTCTCGAGTGTCCATGCTTGGGACAAGGAATAAAAGTCGGTCAAAATGATTGTACTTTCTTCTTTTTGTAGCGGCCTGACCAGATTTGGTGAATTTTTGATCGCGTAGCTCACGTGAAAAACAAGCTCTTAAATTTTTGCACCTTTTCTGTACAAAGTTACCTGGAAATAAAGTTCAAATAGTGTAAAAAAAATTAATTTAGCAAAGAAATTATTAATATGTATTTATGAGTTAAGTTTTTATGTATATTTGTTTTTATGTATATTTTTATGTAATATTAATTTACAGTATATTTGTTTCAGATATCTTGCGACTGGCGCTAGTCTCTACAGTATATCATTTGAATATTTGTTAGGTGCTACCACAGTACGAGAAATTGTAAAGTCTACATGTACCGAAATATGGAATTTACATCCACTATATATGCCTGAAAAGACTGAAGAAGATTTGCTGATTATTTCTAATCAGTTTTACCAACGGACAAATTTTCCTAATATAATTGGCGCAATTGATGGAAAGCATATTAGGATGATACAGCCGGAAAATACTGGTTCAAGTTGTTTTAATTACAAAAAGTACTTTTCCACAGTTCTTATGGCATGGGTAGATGCCGATTATAAATTTGTATATATAGACGTTGGTGCTAATGGAGCAGCAAGCGACTCCGGTGTATTTCAAAATTCTAGCATGGGCAAAAGATTGCAGCAAAATCAATTAAATACACCACAAGATCGTATTTTGCCTAATGATGAAAATGGGAAAAAAATACCATTTTGTCTGGTAGCAGATGAGGCATTTGGTTTGTCGCGGCACATTTTGCGACCGTATGCAAGAAAATCATTATCTACTATGAAAAAAATTAACTATGGTCACACGAGAGCACGACGTATGGTTGAATGCACTTTCAGTATACTTAGTAATAAATGGCGAATTTTGCACAGGCCCCTTGATGTCAGTCTCGATTTTGCTGATATAATAGTAAACACGTATTGCATTTTACATAATTTTGTACGGTGCAGAGATGGCATTCAATTTATTGATTGATTGTTTATGAATGTCCATTAGAAAGTTTTACAACAAATCCGTCCGATGGAATCATATCAGCAGCAAATATACGTAATTATTATGCTTCTTGCTTTACTTCACCGCAAGGAGCTGTATCATGGCAATATGACAAAATTTAATCTTATTGTAGTCAAGTGCACGTCAAATAATTCCAAACATTTATTGGTAACTTTATTGATCTTCTAAGGCAAGTAGGCAGGCCTACAAGATATACTTTTGATTGTACTTTTGGGGTAATGCTCCAGAGTGATGACTAAAATACTAAACAACTATATGTAGGTAATACCTACTTACTATTTCCGATGTGCAACTTTTGTTTTAGCTATGTATCTAAGTAATACATGGTGGCATCGCGGTCGTGTAGCAACAAAGTAAAATTAGACTTGCCTAATTGCCTAAAAATAATTGAAGCCTATTTTTATACCTGAAATCGAAATCATTTACCGAGTTAGAAAAAAATAAGTTTGAATCACGATCCCGATAACAGCCTGAATAATAATTGTATGACATAAATATAATACAATGGCAAGTAATATACTTACTAGAAATAAAAATATGAAACGTACCAGCTTCTGTTTTTTCTTGTTGCGACAAGTTACTCCAAGGATTGGAAAATATTATTCTACTTATTTTTTCCCATGCCTTAATTTTGAAATTAATATCTGAATACTCTTTCAACTTTTTGTCATAAAGAGCTGGTCTCTTTTCCACATCTTCTATAAGGACATCATTGTCAATATCATCATCACGAATTACGTTTTGCGTATTTGATGATGCCATTTTAGGTGCGCCAAAGTCGATAGTCGAAATGCAAATGCGAACGAACGACGCACGTGGAGTGACAATTTTGTTACCCGTGCGCGCGCTGCTATGAAAACGGTGACCGTTTCGTCACGGGCTTGTTCGCCGGTCGGCGTACAAAAGCGTCACCCAGTTGTCACGTCGTAACATACATATCCACAGACTTGATAAGAGTGACGAAACAGTTACGGTGGCAAAAGTTACCCGTGCGCGCTATCTAGATTCTACACACTGCTGCCCGTCGCCCGCACACTGACCCGTTCATATTTAAGAACACAAAAAAAATTAACCTAATATTTCATTATTTTTAATCGCCAATCGTACAATTTGTGTCAAAAACCTCAACAAATGTTTGCGTGAAGGAAAAATACAGAAACTCAATGCAGTTGAGAGGTGGTTATAAAATTCTAACAAAAAGGGCTTCACTTTGGACAATTTTTTCATCCACTGATAATGAAATCATAATTATTTCAGACGTAAAAATTGAAATATAATGTACATTAAACAATATTTATATTTTTTCTGTAATTTTACATTCACTCAGTAAAGAAGAAGTTACACGAAGAAAACCTCTAGTTTGCAAGTACGGAAGCCTTAAATATCATAACGTTAGTTATATTTTAATGTTGTAGGTAGTTATTTTATTATATAAGTTTTATTACTGACTGCCATTGCTGTTTTGCTTTGTTTGTCATCGTCGGGCTTTGCATGAAAGACAACTAATTGAAACAATTTGCCGTGCCATTTTCTATACGCCATAGGAACACGTAATACTCGTATCATAGAGATATTACGACATAACCGACCGAGTGATCATTTATAAATGGACAATTCCGTTTGTAAACGGACGAGCGTACAATTTTCATTATAATATGCTATTTTAAGGTATTAAAATAAGAAAGCAAAATGAAAAATGTGTTATGATAATGCTACGCTGATTATGTTTTTTTATTTTTGTAGAAGAGAGGCAAATTAGCATGCGGCTCACCTGATGGTAGGTGCTACATAAAGTTAACAATTCCGCTTGCTCCGAGTAGTTTTTGTCGCGAGCGGAATTGCGCCCTCCCCCTCTGAATACGCGGGGCAGCCTGAGCACCCACGCTCAGGAGGACTATAACTTGGTCGTGTATGCTCAGCGAGGGATTCTCCGTCACCATGGGTTCTGGTACCCTCTTGGGGCAGTTCTTGTCTTAATTCCGTTACCATTTTAAGGGGAGGGAGGAATTGGGTTTCCGGCCACCTGCACTCGTCAAGCGCAACGCAGAGGTAAATCTGTACTTCACGCTGGTATTCTATGAAGTCGTGGTACCACACCGGTTTGAGCTGGCTTATCCGTTCGACAGCAAAAGCTGCCGCGTAGCTCTACCACTGTTAAAAACATACGTACATATGGCTTTATGCATACATGATGTTGCCAAGCCGCCTGCCATCCATGGCAACTTTGGTTGCCTCATAGAGAGAATATCTATATAACAGAAAGACAATTGAATTTCATAGAAATTGCTAAATAATTTTTTGGTTTTTACTTTATTGACACACTACTGGACTTGGTCGTTAAGGAGTATGTTAGGGCTGAATCTGAGTGACAAGGTGAGAAATTGTGTATTAGGGGAGGTTGTGGTTTGCAAGATAATGTTGTGACCAGGATTGAGAAAGGAATCCTTCGGTGGTTTGGTCATTTGGAAAGAATGAATGAGGAAAGAGTGACAAAGCAAATTTATGTTTAAGTGAATGGCGTAGTCGTTCCGCAGAGGCATAGAGTATTGAAAATGGGCCAAATTATGAGTACCCTTAACTGGCGAGCATGTATGCGTAGGTATATGGATGTGGAGTAGGCGAGAGAGGTGTGTCGGAATCGTACCAAATGAAAGTCTGTAGTCCCTGCCTACCCCTCTGGGTGACAGGCGTGAGTGCTTATGTTTTTATGCTTTATAATATTATAGGAATATGCATCTCGTATAATATTGGTTTCACTAAAATACAACATAACAAATATGTTATAACTTTAATAACATACGGTATATTTTAGGTCTTAATTATCAAAATTAGGGTTTCCACTTACACTTCCAACATAATATTATACCAAAAGACAATTAAAATGAAAGGGTTAATTTTTGTATTCGTAAAATAAACATTGATATCTTATGAGATGGGTGAAAAAGGCACCTAGCTATATGAAATTTTAATGATAAACTTACAAAAAAAAAAACGCGAAGGGGCAATAGTTCTTGTTTTTTATGACAGTTTAGATTTCAAGATATTTTTTTACAGGTTCGCATTAAAGAACTAATCAGTCAATCAAGGAAGCTGATTTATTTGATGATGGCGGAAGAATCTTTAGAGTTTGCGACGGGCCAGTACACAATGGAAAGTAAGTTAAAAACATTAGTAAATAAAGAAAACTATTAAAACAAATATACTACTGTTATTGTAATATTAAACAACATAATTTTATATAATTATTTGAACATTATTTTCAACGACGAATGAAGTGTGATAAGTTAAATTTTGTATATGAATACGTCATTAAGCTTATGTAAGATATGAACTTACACAGACGATGAGTATATTTGCGTATGAAACTATTTTATTATTTCGTATATTACCTATGAAGTAGGAATATCTACCTACTGTAGATTTATGGTTAGAAGCAACAATGGGAAATGCTAGAAAAATCTCATGTTCTTCGATTGATTTCGGTATAATCATCTCCTATATTGTATCAGACGCTAAGTATCCTGACCGTCGATGGAAACATCGTCAAACTTTTGTAAATCCATTCATAAATTGTAATAATGTCCTCCAGACCGAACTTCGGCCACGGCGGCCTGCCTCAACGGAGGCTAGCCATCGGCGCAGGACAGGATTATAGTGCCCAATTGTATGCGTAAGCACAGGTGCACTCTCTATTCCCTCACTCTCATAATCCGATGAGACGGTAAACCGACACGACCGGAGAGGGATCAGGCGCAGGACCAACGGTTTTACGTGCTTTCCGAGGCACGGGGGTGAGACACCGCCAACTTCCTGACTCCAGGCAACTACTGAGAATTTCTTGACGGAAAAACCCAATAATTAATTTTTTGCCCGACCCGGGATTCGAAATCAGGACCTTATGATCAGCAGTCGCACTACTACAACCACTAGACTAACGAGGCAGTCATAAAGTGTAGCGACTATTCGAATGTCTTTACTGTGTAAGGCCAATGTCCAGCAGTAAACTATTAAGGGCTAAGGGACTTTTAAGACGTGTTAGTAAGAGAAATACTATTTGTAATATTGTATACTTGTGATATAAATAAACAAAACATGATATATACGAATTATAATTTTCCTGTAGGAGACGCAGTATTTCGGTGAGAAAGTATGAAGGGCGCGGACGGCGATGAACTGTTTGAAATTCAAGCACTGTACCTGCGGCTGCCAGTTCATAACTACACATGGAATTCAACCGATTGGATACCTGATAGCTGGAACGTTTCAGTGGCGAATGGCACCTCGTTGGATGCCGCCGCGCCCTACGATTCACCTGCTGCATTACTTCGTGCTGCTCTCAAGGCGGTTTTCCTTGGTTTACTGATTCTGGCAACAGTGATTGGTTTGTATGTTTGTGTATAACGCTTAGTACATTTTTTCTCATAAGGAAACAACGTCAAAATCTGAACTAGTTTCTTTAACTGAAGCTTAATCTTACTACAAACATTTTTAAAACTAATTTTACAAAAAAAGCTAAGACATTTTTTCATTCATTACAGCCTTTCAAAAGTTCACTGTTGAATATAGGCCTCCAATTTCGAATGCTTCATAGGGGAATATTTATGATAATTGCCAGGCTTGGCAAACGGATTAGCAGCGACGCCCTTTTATTTTTTGCTGTACTCAGGAGGAGGCTGGGCAGCAGCTAAATCAATCTCTTGTTTCAGTTTCCCTTTGAAATACAAATTGTAAAATGTATATTATAAGTCTCTTTCCTGGAAACATTCGTTTTCTTCGTGTTTTCATGCTTAAAACAACAAGCCTGACTTCCCGCGTTACATTAATCGGTAATTTGGCCATGGAAGTCATCTCGAAACCCTAATGGCAACAACGAGGAATACCTCTCCAGAGTGGGTGTGTTTGAGTTTGATCCGATTTTTTAATTTATATTTCTTGTTACTTAACATTTTATGAATGAATTATTTAAGACTAAAAAATGTTTTTTTATTGGTCTTAATATTTCTCTCGTAATTATATTCATTTTAATTTTTAATTATATAAATTAATAAGTATTTTTTATATTATGTATCTGGTTTCTTTGTACTTAGATAATGTTTCTAAGATTTTTAAAGTATACATACCTTAGGAAGGATAGGTAGGCTTAATCCCTGAGAATATTTTTCAAAGCTCAGTTGTTCATGTATTAATATTATAAATGGTATCATGTAACTATTATATAAACTACCAATATTAATTTTACTCACAGAAATAATTCTTTGCTTATGTCAATTGTACATGTCTGTTGTTCCATTTGATATTCTCAATTATTATAAACTATTATTGGTTTAATTTGATTTATCCTTCTACTTGTCTGTGATATAATCTGATTGGCCAATTTAATTCAAAGTCCTTTCATCATAGAACACTATGTATTATATAACTACCATCTAACACTTCATAGATATTTGCTATCATAAATACATTTCAGTGTCCTTGTCTGTCTCCAAAACTTTTTAAAACTATCTGTTATTTTAGCCTTCCTACAGAATTGCGCCGTGGCGTGTTATTTTCAGACTCAGGTAGTCGGGTATAACTTATTCCAGTCCTTAAATCCAATCTATTAGAGATTGGATTATTTTTCTAAAAGATTTTTGCTTCGTTAAAGTTTTTCTTCTAATACTAATTAATTCTTTGATTAAATTGCTAAAGAGTAAGTGTTTAGGGATATAAAATAGAACGTTGATGGTTAAACTCAGTGTAATTTTATCTTTATATTTTCACTAATAAAAATTATACTCCAGCTTAAGAAAAGTTAATATCGTTACAAAGGTCTACCAAGTCGTTAAGTTATTTTTGAAAAATATTTTCATAAATATGTTTCGAATTAACTTTGAATCACTGTATCATTATCCTCGACAAAAAAGAATTTAAATATATAAGTTTAATTCATTTTTATCCTGGGTACTGTCCATAAACACTGTATTATATAATAATAAAATACTGTATAATATAATTCGTTGTCCTCATAATTTTCTTCTTAATGTCCTTAAGATGTACATAGTTCAAATTTGCTTTCGCGAATGCCGCGTGTAGCTTTATATTGCAGACAATAAAACATAAATATTTTACATTTCAATTTTGCAGGTAACGTATTCGTCATAGCGGCTATCCTTCTAGAGAGACATCTGCGAAGTGCTGCAAACCACCTTATTTTGTCACTCGCAGTAGCAGATCTACTAGTGGCATGCTTAGTTATGCCTTTGGGCGCTGTATATGAAGTTGCGCAACGATGGACTCTCGGCCCGGAACTTTGCGATATGTGGACTTCGGGTGACGTACTTTGCTGTACCGCTTCTATACTCCATCTTGTCGCAATCGCTCTAGACAGGTAGGATAACCTACATTTTATTTCTTCATTATGTAAAACATTATGCGTATTACAATTGAATCAACATTTCGATTTTCGTAACACAATTTTTTCATTTGTAGGTACTGGGCTGTGACAAACATTGACTACATTCACGCTCGAACTGCCCGACGCGTTGGTTTAATGATTTCGTGTGTCTGGATAGCGAGTTTTCTTGTTTGTATAGCGCCGTTATTGGGTTGGAAAGATCCTGACTGGAACCGGCGTGTTGCTGAAGACATGCGTTGCATAGTAAGTCAAGACGTGGGCTATCAGATATTTGCAACAGCTTCGTCATTCTACGTACCAGTCCTTGTCGTTTTGATACTCTACTGGAGAATATATCAAACTGCCAGAAAAAGAATACGGCGACGTCGAGGAGCAACAACGCGCGGTGGAGTTGGTCCACCTCCAGTACCATCTGGTGGTGCTTTAGTAGCTGCGGGAGGTAGTGGTGGCATTGCTGCTGCAGTAGTTGCTGTAATTGGTCGCCCTCTACCAACAATGTCTGAAACAACTACCACTGGCTTAACAAACCTCTCTTCCAATAATACGAGTCCAGAAAAGCAATCTTGTGCAAACGGCTTGGAAGCAGATCCACCTACAACAGGATATGGAGCTGTGGCTGCCGCTTACTACCCTACGTTAGTTCGACGTAAACCTAAAGAAGCCGTTGATTCAAAACGGGAAAGAAAAGCGGCAAAGACATTAGCAATAATTACCGGCGCGTTTGTAGCGTGTTGGCTCCCGTTTTTTGTGCTAGCTATCTTAGTTCCAACGTGTGATTGTGAAGTTAATCCGGTTTTGACATCATTGTCATTATGGCTAGGCTATTTTAATTCCACTCTGAATCCTGTTATTTATACGGTGTTTAGTCCAGAATTTCGACATGCATTTCAGCGGCTATTATGCGGACGCCGTGTGCGCCGTCGCCGTGCTCCCCCTTAGCCTGTTTCCAACTTTTCAACCACATCAGTCGACTGACCTCATGTAGCTCGATACATATTGTGTTACCTTGTTACATTTTCAGAGATATATTTACACCCCTTTATTTTTTGTACGTGATTAATGTTAATACAATTATCTGTCTAGATATTAAACCAGTTTTCTTTATGACTTGTTTTATTAAACATAGATATACTCGATGATATATAATACACGACTTATGATGGACGTAAACAATGATACCATCTCCCACGTGTCACATCAGATCGTAAGAAATAACTTAGGGTCAAAATTTCACGAAAATCCTTGTGGCCATCAGATAGGTGGAAATATGACAATTTTTATGATATAAGATGTAAATCACTGATATAAATTAAAAATAAACAGGGAAGAGATAGCATTGGCAAAGATAATATATTAAAATCGGCGAAAATATTTAGGAGATCTAAGCGTGATAAACGAACACACAGCCCACCAGATGGTAAGTGGATGCTGCGGCCCATAGACACCTACATTTAAACTCTATCAAAATGCAGATGCGTTGTCACCCCTGAAGACTAAGATGGAATACCTGGATTCTAGTAAAACGGTTCTCCGGTTCTAAACACTTATCTTACGAAACACAGCAGCATTAAGCTGCTATTTTACGCTGTTATTCTGTGAGAACGTGGTCCTTCCCCGGTCATTCATGCTACAACCACAATAGCTGCAGCATGGCTCTACCGCGTATAAAATATAAATATATCTCTTGCAAAAGTGGCAAGTGGATTAGGCTTCTTCTTTATTAACCTGTATAAATAGCCCTATGCTGGACATAGGTGACGACCATGGTAACGGCGGGGCAGGGGGTGCTAAGAATCTCCGGTGGAGGTTCGGTTGCCACGTACGATGACTCGACCTGGCAACATTTAACGCACGCACACTGAGGACTGACGAGAAGATCCTGGAGCTGGAAGAAGAGATAGACAAGTTGCGCTAGAATATTATAGGATTATCCGAGATCCGAAGAGAGGGGGAGGGCACGGTGATTCTCGAATCCGGCAACTTGTTCTATCATCGGGAGGGCGACTATCTGTCCCAAGGATGTGTTGGATTTATCGTCCACAAGTCTCTCGTTAACAACGTTTTAAAGATTGAGAGTGTATCGACGAGGGTTGCGTACCTTATAATCAAATTCACCCAACGGTATTCGCTGAAGATCACAGAGGTTTACGCGCCAACGTCGGAACATTCCAATGAGGAGGTGGAGGAAATGTATGAGGACGTTTCTAAAGCCATGCATTCCTACAAAACTCACTATACGGTGTTAATAGGAGAATTCAACGCAAAACTGGGCACAAGAGAGAACGGTGAGCTGAAGGTACGGAAATTTGGGATAGGGCAACGGAACCCAAGGGGCCGGCAGCTGGCCGACTTCATGGAGAAAGAGGGACTTTTTATGATAAACTCTTTCTTCCAGAAGCGGCCCCACAGGAAGTGGACCTGGTCGAGCCCCGACAGTTCGACAAAAAACGAGATTGACTTCATTATGACGACCAGACGCCAACTGTTCAGTGATGTCTCAGTGATCGCAAGGGTGAAAACCGGCAGCGATCACCGAATGGTTAGAGGCACACTGAACCTGAACGTTAAGTTGGAGAGGTCTCGTCTAATGAAGTCAATGCTCAGTCCCCCCTCATGCTCTAATCCAGAATCCCGAAACCTTTCAGCTCGAGTTACGTAACCGCCTTCAGTGCCTAGAATATTGCAATGCAGTGGACGATATGAATGACAAGCTCGTGGAAACTTACCATGCGGTCGGAACTAAGTTCTGCAAGACCCGCCGCAGAAGAAAAAACTTTCCGATCACATAATCTCATGGCTTTTAGACGGGAGATGAGGCTGCAATTGTCAACAGATTTGACAGCATACAGGCAACTGAACAGACAGATCTCCAAATGCATGCGGCGAGACTTACGCAACTTTAATACTGCTCGTATTAAAGAAGTGATCGAGCGGAACCAGGGCTCCAAAGTCTTTGCCAGAGATCTGTCAGCCAGAAAGAGCCAACTGTCAAAGCTGAAGATTGAGTGTGGCAGCATCGTTTCTGGGATTTTGAGTGAGATTGAGAGGTTCTGTGGGCAGCTATACACATCATCGTTGGAGCCACATGCAAGTGTGAGTAACAATCCAAGAGCAAGTCTTATCCGACACTATTCCGGTGATATCCCGGACGTCAGTCTGAGCGAGATTAGAATGGGTCTCAAGCACCTTAAAAAACGGCAGGGCCCCAGGTGAGGATGAAATTACAGTGGAACTCCTGAAAGTGGGTGGAACACCGGTACTTGAAGTCTTTCAGAAGCTCTTCAATTCCGTCCTCCATGGTGGCACTACTCCAGAGGCGTGGAGCAGAAATGCGGTGGTCTTGTTCTTCAAGAAAGGCGATAATGCTCTCTTGAATAACTACAGACCGATTTCCCTTCTGAGCCGCGTCTACGTGCTATTTTTGAGAGTCATTACAAATCGTCTCGCACGCAGACTCAACGAATTCTAGCCTCCCGAACAAGCCGGTTTCCGAAAAGGCTTTAGTACCATAGACCACATACATACCCTGCGGCAGATGAGTACCCAAGACCGAAGAGTACAATCTGCCACTTTGCCTAGCATATGTGGACTATGAGAAAGCTTTTGATTCCGTCAAAATTTGGGCGGTGCTACAGTCCCTTCAGCGGTGCCAAGTTAACTGTCGGTATATCGAAGTGCTGAAGTGTTTGTACAGTAGGGCTACGATGGCTATCCGAGTACAGAACCAGAGTTCGAAACCTATCTATATGCAGAGAGGTGTAAGACAGGGTGACGTTATATCCCCGAAACTCTTCACCGCTGCATTGGAAGACGTTTTCAAGCTACTGGACTGGAAAGGATACGGTATTAACATCAATGGCGAGTACATCACTCACCTTCAATTTGCCGACGATATAGTCCTTATGGCAGAATCGCTGGAGGACCTAAGCACTATGCTCAATGACCTCAATGGTGTCTCCCAACGGATAGGTCTTAAGATGAACATGGACAAAACAAAGATCATGTTTAATGTCCATGTCACACCTATGCCGGTAGTTATTGGGACCACTATGCTCGAAGTTGTTGGCGAGTACGTTTACCTGGGACAAATAGTCCGACTAGGTAAGTCTAACTTCGACCGAGAGGTCAATCGACGGATTCAACTCGGCTGGGCAGCGTTCGGGAAATTATGACGCATCTTCTCGTCAGGTATACCTCAATCTCTGAAAACTAGATTGTACAACCAGTGCGTGTTGCCAGTGATGACTTACGGATCTGAGACGTGGTACTTCACTGCTGACCGTATGAGGATACTCAAGGTCGCTCAGCGAGCTATGGAGAGGGCTATGCTCGGAGTTTCTCTGTGTGATAGACTCAGAAATGAGGATATCCGCAGTAAAACCAGAGTGACCGACATAGCCCAACGGATAAGTAAGCTGAAGTGGCAATGGGCCGGCCATATAGCTCGAAGAACCGATAACCGATGGGGAAGAAAGGTTCTCGAGTGGCAGCCTCGTACCAGTAGGCGCAGTGTAGGGCGACCCTCCACTGGTAATATATGCAGGAAGTCGATGGATGCAGATGGCTCAGGACCGTGCTTTGTGGCATTACTTGGGTGAGGCCTATGTTCAGCAGTGGACTTGCGAGGGGCTGTAATGATGATTATGATTATGATATACATAGGTAGGACATAGGTAGGCCTTACATACGTAGCTGAAGTTGCCACGAACTTACAGTTTAACCGATGGTAAATGGCTACTTTTGAATGTCTTTTTGATATTGTAGTAGTCCTACACGCGATTGATGATCAAGAGATCCTGGGCTCGAATCCCGCGTCGGGCCAAATTCAGTTAATGGATTTTTCTACAAGAAGTTTTCAGTCATAGCCCGGAGTTAGAAAGTTGGCGGTGTTTCATCCCTCACTGCCTCAGAAAGGCCATTGGTCCTGCGCATAATCTCTCTCCAATCGTGTCAGATTACCGTTCCATTGGACTATTAAAGTGGAGGAATAGAGAGAGCAGACATGTGCTTGCGCATGCAGTTGGACACTATAGTTCTGTGTTGCGCAGATGGCAGACCGGCCACCGTGACCGAAATCGATCTTGAGGACATTATTATGCCAACTTTGTACAACACTTCTGCGGAATAAAATGGAATAACTCACATCCTGTTACTATTTTTTGTTTTCACTTTATTTCATTTAATAAGATATATATACAAACAGACAGTAGTTCTAAACAGTTTTAAAACTAAAATTAGGTATAATGGTAAACCAATAGAAGTGTACACAGCATAATAAGATTATTATTTATTATAATATAATAAAGCGGAAGTGTTTTTTTGTATTTGTTTAAACACGAATCTGTGGAACTACCAGTTCGATTTAAAAGCTTCTTTTTGTATATTATAACCAGATTCATGAGGAAGTAATAAATAGGCTATCTAGTATTAGAGTATACTTCTCAGCCTTAAATATTAATTTTTGTAAGCAAGTGAGATGAAAAACAGCTCAAGAAATGATTTATTCGCGTGCACTAGTGGAATGGTTAGTGATACGTAAATACAATGTTATATAAAAATATAGATCTTTACTCAAATCTAAAAAAAGTCCGCTATACCATATGCCTATTACTTATAAATAAGCCACAGTAAGGTATATCATGGCAAAAAATTATTGAACATTTTCGCGTTAAGCGTAATTATTAGACATGGCATATTAATCCTTATGGACAAAAGTTACTTCATCATCAAGACAATTTTATGAAGATGAACTTTGCTCTTTATGGCAATTTATATGGACGCATAGTTTAAGAGTTAATGAAAAATTAAAATAATTCCACACTCGGCTCGGCGCGCGATCGACGCATAAACCCTAACCGCCCGATGAATATCGCGAGAAACCAGCAGTGAAAGCTTTTATGAGCGACGTTAGTTCAATCATATTAGCTAAAAATTGGCAA